CCGCTTTGGGATCTCGCGCCCCCACGTGTCCACCGCACGCGCGCCATTTTGCTCCCCCCTTTGCCCCAACTCCCCTCTATGAGTATCAACAGGCTTCTTGCAACCATTTGCAACCGTCAGCTGGCCTGCGGGTACCTGCATCGCGCTGCCGCATTTTCAACTTTGCCAGCCCCGCCCCACCAGCAGCAAACGGCCCGCCTGAAGACTTCACCCATACCCAGAAGTCGGGTCAGGTCGGTGCCTGGCTTGCAATAGAGCCCCACGCGCTGCATGGCACCCCACAGCCTGCTCTCTCGCCTTCCCTTGCCAGCACGCCAAGCTTTCTGCTGTGGTGCTACTAGATCGGGGTGGTAGGGGGGGCCGCCTAGTCACCAGTGCCGGCGCCTCTCCTGCCACGCCCGCCGCACATGTGGCCAGTGGCATGACGCTCTCGCCGCTCTTGGCTTGCAGGCTTGTGCGTGCTGCAGCACAGCGATGGCGCCCAGCAGCTTGAGAGCCCGCTGGATGCTTGCTGCCGCGATGCTGCTGGCGGGCTTATGCCAGGCGGCGGCTGCCAGCGGGCGGCGCCTGGCGCAGGCGGCACCTCTGCCAGCACCCACCGCCAACCGCACCCTGACAGTCATAAACATGTGCTCCCAGGCGCTGCGTATTGGCATGGGATACCCTTTCGACAACTCCGACCCCACCCAGGGCAACTGGTGAGCCCTGGCCTGCGCCTGAACGGGAAATGCTCGTGCTGTGTCCTGCTGAAAGGCTCAGGCATCCTCCCTGCCTGCCCGCTCCGCAGGTGCACCAACAACCAGGATGCCTGGATGTCAGGGTGGTGTTATGAGCGGGTGGGCGGCCTGCTGGAGCCGGGCGCTTCTGTGAGCAGCAGCGAGACCACTTCGCTTGTGGACGGCGCCTTTGCATATGTCACCGCCTTCCGGTGAGAAGTGTTGGGGCGGGGGATGGGCCCTCATGCCGTGCTTCAGTGTCGGCTGGGCTGAGCCGTACAGAACCATCATACCCACCACCAGAGCAGCCGCAAGCCTGCGCCCGGTGCTGCACTCCCACGCTGCCCCAACTCGCCCCAACTCCCACTTCCCAGGAGAGACCACCAGGAGGTGTATGTTGAGGGGTATGCCGGTGACCAGGCCTGCCTGGACTTCAAGGCGGAGGTGGACTGCGGTGAGGGGGCGGGGGGGCAGATTCAGCAACCCCACGCCAGCATCCAAGAGCAGCCAGCAGGCCCGCCTGCTTGCCCGCCTGCGCCCCCCTGGTGCTACTTGAGCATGGGGCCTTCCACTGCTGCTGCCCCTCCCTTGCCCCCGTCGCAGGCGGCTGCTTCTACACCAATTGCTTTGGCTGGTTCCAGGTGGCTACGGGAAGCACTGTGGAGCTGTACTGCTCTGATGAGTATGCGGCGGCGCCGAGTGTGGCGGAGGAATGGGCCGTCTCGGGGCTGCCCGCGCCAGAGGCAGCAGCCGGAGCAGATCCGTTGGATGGAACAGCAGCAGGGCCTGCCCCTGCACCTGCTTTATTTGGGTAGTTGCTTCATCTGACCCACAGCTGCCACATTTGAATCTTTTTTGTTCATTCTTTCACAACGATTTGTCCCCTTGTGGTTGTGCTGCCGGCATCAAGCAAGCAGTGCTGTAAGCGAGGCACAGCAATGTGCATCTGCACTCACGGCTGCGCGGTCGCTTTCTCGCCGTCTCCAGGCGCCTCTGTTGCGGGAACGCCGTCGCCCGCAGGCAGCACCAGCCGAGCCAGCTGCTGCATCCGCTGCTGCCCGGGCACCTGTGGCAGGCTCCCGGTGCGGTCCACCTCCTCCAGGGCTGCCTGGATCCAGGGCTGGTAGATGTCGGTGCGGGTGAACACGCCGGGCAGGCTGGGCCCGCCGCACTCGCCGGCGCCGCCAGACACAAGCCCCACCTGCGCCCCTCGGGCACATGCGCAGGCGGCAGGGGCATGCGGGGGTGAGGGCGGGTGGGAGGCTGCCTGGCATGCGCTGCTGCGCGTTTGGGGCTGTGATTGATGGTGCGCTGCCCCACCCGCTGCTCCCCCCCACTGCTCCACACCTGGCGGTGGGAGGTCGGGTCTGCTGGGTCTGGGGCATACAGCAGCGGTCCGCCTGCAGTGGGCGCAGCGTAAACCAGTTCTGAAGTGTCGTTACCATCTCTGCTGGCAGTTACTGCTGTCAGCGACTGCTGTCAGCGAGTGAATGCGCAGCAGCTCTGTTGCCATGCATGCACACCTGAGTCGCCCTGGCAGGGCAGCGACTTGGCGCCAATCGTGAAGCCAGCGCAGATGGCGAGGGCGGGGTCCAGGTCGACGGGGGCCCCAAACAACCAGCCCGCTGACCCGTCCCGGTAGTCTGAGGCGCACCTGCAGCACAGCAAGGGGCGGGGCGCAGCAGGAATGAGCAGGCATCAAGCAGGAGGTTTTTTCCATGGCATGCCTGCTCGACTCCCCTCTGCAGCGCCAGCTGCAAGGCACCTCTCCCTCACTTTTCGGGGGACACCAGGGGGAGGGCTGCCTCCTGGAGGCTGCGTGGGTAGTTGCCCGGGTCGCTGTCGTCGGCGGTGGCGCCCCACCCCCCCGTGTGCAGCTCCAGGCCAGGCGCCCCGATGCCTGCACCTCGGGAGCACACGCATCATGCAGGCAGGCGAGCAGCTGTTGCACTGTGGCGACTGGGCAACATGCAGGGCAGGGCAGCGCAGGGAGGCACACTGGAAGGAGGCGTGCGCACCTGCCCACTCGCCCTCTGTTGGCACCGCCACCAGCGGGACGCCATCCACGGGGGCGTCCAGCAGCAGCAGCGCCAGGTCCCCGCCCGTGAAGCCGTTGGGCTGGCTGGGCAGCTGCCTGCTGGTCTGCCACTGGGCGCTGGCAAACGCCTGCCGCGAGTCGGGGTGCAGCAGGTACTGCAGGCCAAGGCGGGCAGAGCACAACAGCGGGTCTGTCGGCAGCACGCGTGGCCCGGCACGCGCAAGGAGCGTGCACATGCTTGCCTGCTTGATGCGGCGAAACTGCGCCCCCTCTCCGGTGGTCCTGCACAGCCGGGATGGCCAAAGCCAGCAGCATGGTAAGCATGCCAGAGTGCAGGCCGCGATGTAATGCACAGCCAAGGGGAAGGCCGGGCAGGCACCGTGCCCGGTCGCCTCCCCCGACTGTCCCGCCCAGCCCTCCCTCCCTCCCTTCCTCCCGCGAGCGGCGGCGGCCCACCCACCCGAGCTGCGTGGTGTTGCACAGCGCTGCCAGGCCCGGCATGGGGAAACCAAAGTCGTCAGCCACGCAGTGAGCGGCTGCAGGGCGGGGGCGGCAGGGCGGGGTGTGTGAGCAGGGGCTGGCGGGCAGGCACGTGGGGCAGCGAGCAGCCAGCGCACCTGTGAGGATCACGTTGGCCTGAATGAGCGTGGCGCCGCACAGCTGAGAGTCGAAATCGACAGTGTCGGCAGAGCGCCGCACCCTGCCAAGCGCGCACATGTAGGGCCACCTGTGGCAGGGCCAAGAGGGGGCAGAGTTGGGAGGCGCCAGCGGGCAGAAGCGACGGCAGGTTAGTCGACGTCTGCCTGCCGCTGCAGCAGCTCCGCCTCACCGCCCCGGCGGCGCATCGTTGCCGTTGGCTATGAGGCCCCTGCGTTGCACTGCGGCTCCAGAGCTGCTGCTCCCTGCCACTTGCACGTTCGTGGGCAACAGGCCACGCCCAGGCTGCAGCCTGGCGGCTGCCAGCCGGCCCCCCACGGCCAGCAGCGTGACAAGGAGCAGGAGAGGCCGCATTGTGAGAATAAAATGAGAATAAAATGATGGCCCTTAGGGAGCAAGCAGTGAGGGACGCGTCTTGGCACCTTCTCGGGAGGAGCCTTCCTCCAATTGCCCACTGTTTCCCATTGCTGCGTCTCTGCGCATCTTCTTTGGCTTGTGGTTATCGGCTCTCGTGCTGACAGCAAGCAGTGCCTCCTGACCTCCCCGCCGGCTGCATGGCGGCAGGCGGCGGCGGGGCGGCAGCGACGGCAGCCTCGACACGGCTCAAACCTCAAAAGCGCAGCGGCCCTCTCTGTCGTCATCGGTTTTACACTGGCAAGCGGGGCATGCAGGCGCTATGAAAGGGTCAAGGTCTTAGGTACAAAGGCGAGGGAAGAGGGCTCGGTCTCGCTTAGGTTGTGGCAGCCGAGGGGGTTCCCCTCATCGCCCGCCTCCCGAGTATCGCCTGCGCTGCCTGCGCACCGGCCGCTCCTCCTCCTCCTCGCTCTCCTCGGCGGCCGCCAGCTGGGGCTGAGGGTCCACCGCAGGCGCCTGCCGCTGGCGCCCGCCGCCGCCTCCGCCACGCCCGTAGGGGGCCTGCAGGTCTGCATCCTCCTCCTCCTCCTCCTCCTCCTGCTGTAGCACAGAGGAGAAGGGATAGCGGCGGCAGCAGCAGCGTAGGGCCACACAAAATGAGGCGCCGGCAAAGGGCAGGGAGTGGGAGGGGGCAGCCAGCTCCAAGGCACATCATGCAGGCCAGCCCTGGTCGCCGCCGCCCGCCCGCCCACCCGCACACCTGCTGCCCCTCCTCTGCCTCCTCCTCCGCCGCAAACAGCGAGCGCAGCCTGCGCTGGCGCTGCCTGGCGCCGCCGCTCCTGCTGTCGGGAGGGATCGCCATGGCCTCTTCTGTCGGCAGCACCTCCGGCCCCTCGCTCCCCTCCCGCTCCTCCCCCTCGCTCCCCTCCGGCACCCCCGCCAGCGCCTGCTGCCCCTGCTGCGCCGCCTCCTGCTCATCATCTGTGTCGGAGGCTGGCGGCGCTGGCACGGCGCCGGTGCGGGCGCCACCGGAGCGGCCACCCTGCCGCTGGCCCGCCGCCATCCCCGACAGCCTGCCCTGCCGGCGCCCGCTGCCGCCGCTGCCGCCGGGGGCCGCCGCGTCGCGCTGCGAGCTGCGGGGCAGCACGCGGCGCAGGCTGCTGGGCCGCTCCTCCTCCTCCTCGGGCTGCACACACACAGACACACACCAGGGGGGACACAGCGGCAGGTAGGGGCTGGTGCACTGCGCTGGCGGGGGCCGCTGGCCGGGGCCGAACCTGCCCACCAGCACCGCCGCCAAAGCGCACGCCACCGAGCGACACCGCCCGCTGGCGCCGCCTGCCGGCCGGCCCCTGCCACCACCCTCCCCACCAGCCTGCCCACCTCTTCGATCGCCTCCCGCCCCTCCTCCTCCTCCTCCTCGCTCTCCTCATCGATCACCTCCCGAGGCGCAAAACTGATCTTGCGGGTTGCCTTGCGCGCCGTGCCGCCCGCCCTGGCGCCAGCCCCCACACCTCCCTCTCCCCTCTTCAGCACAGACTCGACGCGGCCCTGCAGCGACGGGGGCCCAGGGCAGGGAGCGGTGGGCAGCGGGGAGCGTGGCGCGGCGCGGCGGCTGCCGTGGCGGGCGCGCCCACCGCCGCCCCGCCTACCGGCCCTCCGCAGTCCGCCCTGTGCTCTCCCAGCGCCTGACGCCACCCTCTCCAGCACCCCTCCCCGCCCTAAACACAAACTCTCTCTCTCTCTCTCTCTCACACACACACACACACACACACACACACACACACACTGCACTCCCCAGTACCCCTCCCTGCCCTACAACCAAACCCCAACAACACACCACAAGCGGCCCACCTTGGCCGCCCGCTTCGACAGGCACTCCAAAAAGGCAAAGTAGGTGTCCCAGTCGGCGTCGCCGTCGCGCGGGCGCTG